TGCCAGCCTCTCCCTCTCCCTCTCCCTCTCCCAGCTGCCTGCTTTCCATTCTTGTTCACACATCTGTTTCTCTCTCCACCTCCAGGACCCCCTCCCCTTCTCTCTCCCTCTTGGGCTCCCCCTGCCCTTTCATCTCCCCCTTTCTAGGCATCCTCTCCCATGAAGTCGCTGGTCCAGAAGCCAGGACTTCAAAAGGAGATCAAAGCAGGGTTCACCCATCAAAGAGCCGCTCTGCCGGGAGCACCCCCTGGCAGATCATAACTCTCCCTCATGGGGACAGGTTCTTACATCCCAGTGCCCCGGGAAGTCACTCTCTGCCAGACCCCATGCTAGAGAGACCACTGGCTGTGTTGGTTGGGCAGCTCCTGGAGCTTGGACTCAGAGAAGCAGCTGAAAAGCTGTCATGGCCAGCTTTTACTGGACGTGTGACCTTGGGCAGGTCACTGCACAGAGGCTCGGCTTGAACTCATTCTCTGGGCCTGGGCCTCACAGTGTATAGGGACCATGTCAAAGTCCTCCCATTCTCACCCCTCCAGACCTCCAGCTCCATCCTCCACCAGGCTCCTCTGCCCCACCCACCTCTCCCTGAGCCTCTGGCCCATCTCTATCTTCCCCTCAGCCCAGCCTCAGGTCCCTCAGGAGATGGTGGCACCTGGATGGGATGGGAGGTGGAGCAGAGAGGCTGAGGCTGTGTGCATAGACTTTTCTTGGCCCAGGTATCAGGAAGCTTGGGAATGATGTGACTTGAGTCAGTCCCTAAACCTCCCGGAGCTTGTTTTCTTGTTTGTAAAATAACGGGTTGCCTGCCTCAAATCCTCCCTGGGAAGCAAACTGCGCACACATTATAATTTTAAAAAACCGAGGAGGCAGGACTCAAAGGGCCCGTGGGCTGCAGGAACCGAAGCACCAGGCTTCATTCTGTGCCTTTCTTGCTGCGGGCAGATGCAGTCATTCACAGTTTTTCCATAGCCTCACTCAGCCCCCAGAGCCAAAAGACTCTGTGGTTCTGCTTCACCAGCCAGGTGAGCAAGTGACTGAGGTCACACAAGGAGGACCAGCACAGCCTGGAGTATGACACCTCTCGGGCTCTCCTCTCTCCATGGCGGGATTGTTCTTCCCAGGTTGTAAATGAGTGTGCAGATGCTCAGAGCCAAGGCACACACACAAGGTTGGATGTTGCTGTCCTGTCCACACCCTGCAGCCCACATGCCCAGCGCTGGCCCAGCCTCGTCCCTGACTTCCCGTGTTAGTCAGCTCTCTCGTGGCCAGGACACAATACCCGACACCCACAACCTGAAGGAGGGGTGGTTTCATTTGGCTCATGGTTTCAGGGGACTTAATCCAAGGTCAGCTAATTCCAGGGCAGAAACATCATGGCAGAAGGGCATGGCCCAGAAGCCTGGCAGGGGAGCGGTGCCAGGGAGCAACCAGCGGGGACCAGACCCAGACCTTAAAGCCACAGCCACATGACCACCAGACACACCCCAAAGAGAGCATCACCTGTCCCCTGCGTGGCTCCTCTGTCAATCAAGTTGAGTCTGCCCCTTAACTGCCACAGCCCCTCTTCCCCAGTGCCCCTCACTGACTCCCTGGGGCCAGCATCCCCACAACAGGGCCCGATACACCTGTTCCTTCCAGCTTCCTGGCTCCTTAGACCCCAACACTGACACCAGCACCCCAGGTGTTGAGGGGCCAGACCAGTGCTGCCTGGAAGAAAACCCACAATGTGGAACATTGAATCTGTGCTCCCCCCACATCATCTCCAGGCCACAGAGCACTAGAAACCGGCCAGGGCCCCTGAGACACGGGGTTATTGTTACACGAATGCCAGGGCTCAGTTTTGCCTTGTTTTGTTGTAGCCCTGGAGAGTGAGCCCAGACCTTTGTGTTAAGCTATGTCCCCAGCCCTTTTTTACTTTTTATTTTGAGGCAGGGTCTTGCTAAGTTGCCCATGCTGGGCTGGAGCTCCCAGTCCTCCTGCCTCTGCCTCTCGAAGTGCTAGGGCTGCAGGTGTGTTCCACCACATCCGGTTCTTCCATTTCAACTTAAGCAGAGACACACGGCTGGAGGCCGCAGTGCTGGAGAGCAGACCACAGCAATCCCGTCCTCCGCAGGCAGGAGCAACAGTGGAAATTTTTGAAGCAAAGTCATGGAATATATTAGGTGAGGGTAAGAAAAATGCCTGTCTTCTGGATTCCCCAGCCCAAGGCAGCTTCCACCAAGCTCGCAATGGCTCACTGCCCAGAGGTGGCCAGGGCAGGGCCCTATGGGCAAGTGGAGGTAGCACTGCCCTGAGAATCAAAGCATCCTTTCCCAAGCAAACATCTGAGCTGTGCCGTGCAGACTGGGAACCGTGCAACCCAAGCCATGTCCCAGGCCTTTCTTCCCTTCCTGCGGGGGGCCTTGGATCCCGGGAGCTCTGACATCTCAGGATGCCTTCTTTCCCTGCAGATGTGGAGAAGGTGGGAGGCCAGGCGCATCCTGAAAGGGGCCTGGGAGCCTCCTGGCCTGAGTCTTATCCCCGACCACACGGGAGGCCACACCCATATGGCCGTACCGACCGGGCAGGCCAGGTACAGACAGGCCTGGGAGGTCTTTCCCAGAGCCAGCAGACCTGTCCAGCTGTCAGAGGGAGGAACTCTAGAAGTGAGCACCTTGCTGCTCTGGCCCACTGGCCTGTGACAGGCGCTGGGACATAGGATGGGAGGGCAGGGCTCCCCCTGCTGGGAAGGCCAGGAAATTCTCCCAGCCTCTGCATGGAGTGAAGTCTCTTGGCCAGTCTTGACCAAGTTGAGGTGAATCCCAGGAAGCTGCTCCAGGATTTCAGCATGAGTAGTAGCCAGGCAGGATGGAGGGACCAGTGCTCTGAGACGTCCTCGCTAGACTCACACAGTGGAGGAGGAGCCGAGAGAGGGTCAGTGCCAGACCTCAGGAGTAGACCCAGCACTCCCTGTCCCCACTCCACATCCCAGAAAGAGATAACTACGCCCACTCGTTCCTCTGGACACTGCCTCCAGTATAAGGGAGAGATGGGTACCTGATCAGCCACGTGTTTATTGTGTAACTTGGACATAGGATGAAGGAGAAGCTTCCTAAGCCCGTAGAGGGGGAGAATGACAACCACCTCCCAGTGTGCCAAAGAGGATGAAACAGACTTAGGGTCACTGTGAGGATACAGAGCTTCTCGTAGCACCCACAGGGCGGGAAGAATGTTCCCAGAACTCTTCCCTGCACCCCTCTTTCCCCAGGACTCCAGGGTGAGACTTTCATCCCACTCAGAGCTGACACCAGGGCAGCCGCCTGGGGCTGCTGCCCACCTTGCTTGCCCAGGACCTCCTTGCCCAGGACCACCTCTTCAGGCCCCTTTGCTGGCCTCCGAGGGCTCTGCACCCATATGCACATGCAACTCAAGCTCACACACCACACTTCCCTCGCCCAGTGTGGGGGAACTTAGGAGTGGACCACAGAATGTGACACCTGCAGATGAGGGTAGAGGCCGAGAGGGTCTGCCGAGCACATGCAGGCCCACCCCGCATCATCTCCCACTCCCCATCTTCCTGTGAAGCTCTCGGTCATCCCCTCAACCTCTCAGGCACAACATCCTGGGTGCCTCCTCTCCTGCCAGGAAGTTGAGCCATCAAGGCCTCAGGAAGAGGCAGAACTGACTACATATATCAGGTCCCCAAGCTCTTAGCACCTCAAGTCACCTTCAAGCTCAAAACCAGGCACCTCCTCCCTACTCCCCACCATCTCAAGCATCCTAAGACAGCACCTAAGGGGCCCTTCAACTTGGACTAGACCAAGAGAGCCTAGCATACCTTGGTCTGGCTAAGTCCCTTTGCCCATCTTCAGGGCCCAGGAGCCCTCAAGGGCTGGGTCCCCAGACCATGACCACCTCCTCCCACAGGGATTTTAGGCCAGTTCTGTTCCCACCTGCTTCTCCCCCAGCTGCAAGAGAACCAAGCTGTGATCTGACCCCAGAGAGACTCCCACCTTCCAGTACCCTGAGCCATCAGGCCCGGCACCCAGGTGCCATGGGTGGAGAGGACCCTAGGGACACCAGAGTGTGCCCCATACAGCTGCTAACTGTCCTCACACTGCCTGGAGACCAGCAGGCCCAGTGAGAGCTGGAGAAGAGAAACAGGGCCCGGTAGGCACACTGACCCAGGCACTGGACTAGGAGTCCATTCTGCCCCTTTCTCCTGGGCACAGAAGGGTCAAAGCATGCAATGAAGAGCTGGCTGGGCTCAGATGTTCAGTGCTGAGCAGGGAGCAGGAGTGGGAAACTCTCAGGGCAGCACGGAAAAGCATCTCTGACCCAGGGTGAGTCCCCTCTCCCGAGTACCTCATCCCATCTGGCCCCTGGGCTGACGGGCTCTAGACCTTGCCAATCAGCCCTCAGGCCTAATCCCACAACAGAAAAGGTGAGGAGAAGGCCACAAGCCAAGCAGCCCTGAGACTCTTTCTCTGTCTCTCTGCCTCTCTCTGTCTCCATGGCTCTGTGTATATGTGTCTCTTTCCTCTCTTCCCACCTCTCCTCTCTCTGGTCTTCCTCTCTCTCTGTCCTGCAAGGACTTATACAGAAGCAGCCTGCAGCCTGCCAGCTAATGTCGCTGCCATTTTTCAATGAGATCTGAGCGAGCTCATCACAGTCACTAAGCCCTGATTTCAGCAAGGAAGGCAGTCACCCAAATGTGGCCCAGACTGAGACACAGGAGCGTCACAACCCAGTTAGGTAGACTCAAAACATCTCTCTGTTGGCGCTGAGAGGTTTCATGGGTGACGTTGCCAAGCTCGCCCTTTATCTTGGTTCTTTTCAACTTTCTTCTCATTTCTGTGAAAGATGAAATTGTGCTTACTGAAACTTTGTAGGAGAAAGAGGGAGAATTAGGAGCATTTTCTGTCATTAAATTGGCAATCCCAAAATACTTGTAAAAGATGGAAGATTTAGATGAAAACCAAAAATAAATAAATAAATAAAATGTAACAGACGAATGCAAAATCTCTTATTTAATTTCAAAATTCAGTCACACAAATTTAGGCTTAGGGAGTCTTCGTTTGGTTTGCAAGCCCCGGGCCTGGTTAACTTAACCATTCAGTGAATTACATTAATGTTCCCAATGTGTCTGTTTGTGTGCATATTTATCTATTTTGTCTTGTTTTATAAATTTTTTTTTTATTTTAAAGATAGTAAAATCCAACAAAACAAGACAGAACAAAGCAATCAGAACAATACGGCAAAATTGGTGTATTCACCAGCAGGATACCGTAGTATATCTTGTTATCTTCACAATAGTTGTCCATTCCATCAGGTGCAGCAGAATCAAACACAAAATAGAATAAAACCAATCAAAACCAAATATTGAAAAAGGCAAAAGAATCAGTACAAAGCAAAACAGTGAGAACAATATTGGATTTCAAAGACAAGACAGAAGGAAATCCCCCATATTTGCTATACTGCATACTGTCATCCTCCCAAGAGATGCTCAGACCGCTGGTCCAGGCCTGCAAAATCAGCCAGACAAGAGAAGCATTTAGTTGCTTTATGCACCTTAGTTGCTATCAACTCAGCCTGTCCTCCAAACCATCAGGTTGCTGGGGTGGAGGTGGAGCTTATGGAAGGTGTTTGGCTTACCGAAATGCTGTCTTTTCTCTCGTAGAATGCCTCCTGTTTACGCAGCTTACCAGGAAGGCTGGCTAGTTGATTTCTTGGTTGGTCCCCCAAGTCCCAGCATCTCTACTGTGTTTGTGTTTTAACACATTTCTGCTGTTAGTCTCAGCCCGTCCACTTTCTTTTTGCGTTAGCTACCCTCATGATCACAAGATGGCTGCCACATTTCTAGGCACCATATCTAAGCTCAATTTTCTAATAGAATAGATTGACTCTTCTGTCTCTTTTAAAATCTTTTCTAGAATCTCCCTGAATGCTTCTCCTTCAGCTTATTAGCTAGAGTCTGTCACCTGCCATGCCCTTGCAGAAAGCATTCATTGGGAAGGGAAATGGGCCTGACACAAACCCTTCAACTGGTTATATTCTTCTCCTTGGTGCATGGAAAAGGGTGAATACTTGATTAAAATCAAAATCCTAATGAAGAAGGAGAAAAAGAGAATGCTAGGAGAGTAGATATGATTAGGTAACCAAAGTTCCTAACCAATGGTAGTGAACTCTCCATCACTGGAGGCATTCAAGTGAAGACTGAATAAAACCTATCGGAGATACAAGAAGAGATTCTTTCAGGGGTTAGAGTTGAAGGTAAACCTGATAATCTATACTTCAGTACAGTAATTTCCTCAACAAGAGACCACACCTCTTTTTGAGCTCTCAAGAGGGATGATTTGTGGCTAACCCCTCCCTTTGCTTTGGGGAGACAGAGGGGCAGGAGACAGGAATGAACAAAAGCCCAGAGTCTTGGGTGCTGCACTGCTTTTTTAGTTCAAAGTACTCAAGCTGTCAAAGCACCACACTTTGGAGTATAATTTTCTGAGACCAACAGAATTAACACTCACAGCACAACAGATATCTGTGAATCCACCTCTGTGCATAAGACCTGTGGAACTAAAGAAGAACTGTCCATTTGATTTCTGACTCACAGAGCTTACAGTAAAATTGGAGGAAGGAGAACAGAATGCATAATGGAACCAAAAAATAACAAATCTATTTCTGTGAGACACATGTGAAAATCAGCCAGATTTCTTACAATTAAACAGAAAAACAGCAATCCAAAATTGGCTCTCAGTGATGTGGGAGTGGAAGCAGCAAAAGGTACTCTGGAACCACAGAGGAGATCAGTGTTGCTGCAAATTACATGCACAGAAACAGACAGTGATAATTTTAAGTGGACCTGTCCAGGTGTGGTCAGCGTATTAGCCAGTTTTGTGTTACTGTAGCAAAATACCTGAGATAAAAAGTTAAAAGGGGAAAACATATTCTGGCTTACAGTTTCAGAGGGTTCAGTGCATGTTCTACTGACCTTGTTCTTTTGGGCAGGAGAATGCAACAGAAACAACATCATGGCACTTACCTGCAGCAGAGGAAACTCCTCATCTCATGGCAGCCAGGAACCAACAAGAGAGCAAGAGGTCCCAGTATCAGGATCCCAATATCCCCTTAGAGGGCATGGCCCTGTCATCTAACTGCCATCCCAAAACTTGCCAACAGCATCACAGGTTAGGGACCAAGCCTTCCACACGGGGGTTGTTGGGGGACTCCAAATCCCAATTATAACTGTCAGATTATCCTTGCCTAGACAGTCACCAGCAGCCATCCATCCCATCAAGAGTGCTAGGCACCACAGAAAGAAGCAAGAAGATATAGATGGGTATGCCCTCCCTTCTGGTGAGATTTTTGTATCTTGCTATATATGAAATGGAATGTTATCGTGTTGGGGTATGGGGTTTGGTTTGGTTTGGCCTGGTCTGGTCTGGTCTGGTCTGGTTTGGTCTGATTTGGTTTGGTTTTACAGTACTGGGAATTAAACTCAGCTCTTTTGCAATCACCTATATCCCCAGCCCTCCTCCTCCTCTTCCTCCTCCTTATATTTTTTTAAACTTTATTTTTGACACAATGTCTTGCTAAGACACTAAACTGTCCTGGCTGGGCTTGAATTTATGATCCTCCTACCTCAACCTCCTAGAGTGCTGAGATTACAGACGTGTGCTACCTTGCCAGGTTGAAATGTTATGTTTTAAAAAAAAAAAAAACAGTAACTTCCAATTTTCTAAGAGTTTCCTATGCATGAGCCTGGGGCTAGAAGCTTTAATTAAGTACATCATCTAATTTAATCCTCACAACCACAAATGTTCTCTTGATGTCCCTTCAGGCTTCAAGGGTGACTTTTCTTTAGTATTTAGAAAAAAATGGAGCCCCACCCCCACCACACTCTCTAAGATTCCTGAGAAGTGCCAGGCCTGGCTGTTTCCTTCTCATTCTGATTCCTCTTCTTACTCCATCCTCTTCTAACTCACTTATTGAGTTTATGTCTTTTTATCTCGTCAACCTACAGACAGGGCGACATCTAAACCACACGTGAGAGCCAAGGAAAGTCCAGGAAACAGGGTGGCTGGGTTTATCTTATCGTTAATTCCCCTCCCCTGAGCATATATAGAACATGCAAAAGAATTGTACTAAAACTTGTGTAAGACTGGAGAGGAGGTTTGGGGAGGTAGGACTATTTCAGCAAGCAGTCAAAACTGAAGACCCAAACGTCCTGTGCTCGCAAGTTCCTCTGTCCACCGCACCTCTGGCTGCTGGCCTACTGTCCATGGCAAGACCCTCCCCTACACTCTCCTCGGCCCCTCACCCTCTCCTGCTCAGATGTCTCTGGTTTTTGTCTTTAGAGCAATTCGACCCCCACTTTGTTTGTCCCTCTCTTCCTCAAGGTCACTCAGGAAGCTGGAGGGCTTTATCTGTTACACTCAATGGGTCATTTTCCAAAACAAAGATTCCTGTCTCCCTGGCAGCAGTGAAGGCTTTTCTCTAGAATTCACAAGGAGCTAGAGACACACTCCTGATTCACAGCCATTTTAAGACACAGTGTCCACCAGTTACACAGGAGAAAAGTGAGACTTAACACAGTGAGAGATTGGCCCACAGTCACAGAGCCAGTAAGGGTGACATCTGGATTGAACTAGATCTATGACTCCATTTTAATGATGGCACTGATCTTTAAAGAGGCTTGAGGAACCCCTGGAGGAGCCCCTGGAGGAGCCCCTGGAGGGAAGGACAGCCAGATAGAGAGGCCCAGTGTAGGAAGCAGAACCCAAGACCAACCTAGCTAATGGGAGGAAGCAAAGACCACCTGGAGGCAGGGAGCCAGATGGAACAATTGGAAATGACAGTGGAGGAGGCTGGAAAAGCTAACTAGGAGAGAAAACCTAAGGAATAACCAGGCAAATCGCGCAGCAGGACTAAATGTTGGCTGTGAAAGTGACAGAAGAGCCAAGAATCGAGTCCAGATTTCTGATGGGCGGCTATCTCAGAGACAATGGCCATGGAAGGAAGGCGAGCAGGGATGCTCGGAAGGCGTTCAAGTTGGCACATGTGGACACAGAGGGGCCTTTGAGGCGTCAGAGGCGAGATACTTCTGAGCTGCTCTGTGCCTCGCTCTCAAGACAAGCCCACACTGGAGAGGCAGTCACCACCTATAGATGGTAATTAAAGCCAAGGGGAAGATGAGCTCATGCAGGGAAACTTGAGAAGCAGAGTTGTTGGATACAACAGAGGAGCACCCACAAGAGAGGGTGGGGCCGGGGGAGGGGGATCAGCCACGGAAACCCAAGAGGCCAGCCAAGTCCCAGGGGCAGAAGGGCTCTGCACTGGGGAACCCAAAGGTGGGCTTCCCAAAGCAAGGACCGGCACTATCAAATGCCCAAGTCAGTGTTGAATAAAAAATATAAAAAGCCAATGTTTCTGAACTAAGCTCCCACACTAGGCCCCAACAGACCAGGCTAAAATTCAAATTGGAGCCACTCACATGAAGTTCTGTATCACCAAGCTGAATCTAAACTATTTATCTCACCTCTAGAGAAATCAGGATTAAAGAGATAACAACCAAATTTCCCAAACAGCCTGGTGCCAATTGGCACGATAATGAAGTCCCCTGTGGCTTAATTCTTAAACTGATAACCTGAAATACACTGATGTTAACCAGCCAGTTATTTTCCTGCTGTTCTGGCCCCTCATCCCCACCATACAAGGAAAATACCTGAAACAATCAAAGTTTGTTTGCTGCCATCATTATCATCATCATTGTTGTTGTCTCCTGTTTTCTTCAAGCACTTCTCAGTCTATAAAGCCATCCATCTTCACTTGGACCATCAGGACCCTTACTCTGTATTACACAATGAAGTGTTGCCTGAGTCTAGAATTGAAAATAAAACCAGTTAAGATCTTTTATATTAAATCACTGTAGCTTTGTCCATTCACCTCAGAAACGCCCTGAGAACGGCCACCGGGTTTAGACATGGGGGATGAGTTGGTGAATTTGGTGACCACCGGCATTCTACTCAGAGGAGGACCACCTGGAGGCTGCTCTTGAGCGGTGTGAAAAGGGAATGAGAACAGATAACAAGGAAAGCTACTTCTGGCAAGATATGCACTGGGGGGGGGGGGAGAAGAGTTATCTGAAGAGGCAAGTGGAGCCAAGGGAGAGAGGACTTTGTTTGTTTTGTTTGGGAGAAAATTGAGCAATGGCAAAGGTATGGGGGGGGGCGTTGCTGGTGAAGGGACAGGACCAGGAGGAATCAGATGGAGACAGAGCAGGGAATCTGTGGCCCAAGAGCAAAAGGACCCTAAAAGCATCCAAATTGTCAGGCGTGGTGATCCCACCAGTCTGCAAGGCCGAGGCAAGAGGATTGCAAGTTGGAACTCAGCCTGGGCAATTTAGTAACTAACCAAGACCTTGCCTCAAAATAAAAATCAAAAAGGGATGGGTATGTAGCTCAGTGTGGGTATGTAGCTCAGGCTAGTTTTAATACTCTGTGCTGGAGGAGGAGTCAAATCAATAGGAATCCACTAGGAGATCTGGGGCTAGGCAGGCACCATGGGCCCCAGAAGTTACACATATGGCTGGCTCCCAAGGGAAGGAACATTGTGGTGAAGACAGGACACAGGAGAGGCAGAGAAAATCTTCTCAGAAATATGGTGGCAGTAGTCTGGGTCTTTCATAGTTGTCATGACCCCCACCTTAGCACAAGGGCCACAACAAAGCTCTCCAGCCACCTTCCTGCAGACTGTCTGTGAGCCTGTGGACCACTTCAGTGCTTTCCCTGGGCTATGCTTGGACTTGGGCTCTGTGTCCTTCACCTTCTGAGGCTCATGTGTGCCCACAACCTCTTCTACCCATGACCTGGTACTAAGGGTCTTGGCTCCTGGTGCCTTCATTTGGAAGGGAAGATGTCCCACAGCTTTGGTACCCAAACAAACCGAGCTATCCCTTGGGCCCAGCCTCTGTATGGCCCCTAGAAGGTACCTGCAGGTCTGGCTCCTCTAGTCCCCCTCTGTCATCACCATCCTTGCTCAGTTCTACCACCAGTTCACTGTGACTGCAGTGTAACCAGTCACTGACCACATGCTCCCCACCTATGCTGTCCTTTATTGATATATGTAAGAGCAGCAACCATGCACACAGCACTTTGCTTGCTGATGGTCAGAGGCAGAACAGTAAGGTAGATATCCTTTTATATGGTGCACATCAGCCTTCTAGACTAGTATGTGCTACACACTCTACTGATTTTAACCTACTTCTTAGAACACTTTGAAATAAAAGAAGCTGAGACCCAGTATGATTAGAAAGTACAGGGGATGTGGTCATCAGAGCTTTGACATACCTTCCCTCACAGGCTCTAGTCCCACTCTCCAGAGCTTCTCTGACTTTGGGCTTCCCAGGTTTACTTCTGTCTTAGTTACTTTTTTATCATTGCTGAGACAAAAATCCGACACTCAAAGTTAAAGGAGGAAAGTTCATTTAATTCACAGTTTGTAGAGTTTTCAGTCCACAGTTGGCTGACTCCCTGGCAGACTGGCACATGGCAGAGGGGCAACAGTTCATGGTGGCAGAAGACAGCAAAAGCAACGAGAGCAAGAAGGGAGACAAGCCTCTTTCTGTCACTTATCCAGTCTATTGGGATTAGGGCGGTTCCGATCCAATCAGTGGGCTGACCCAGCAATCACCCATCCTTACCCCCAGCACCTTAATCCCAGCATTGTACACTGTAGATTCAGCCAGCTCCAAATAAATCCTATGACTGCGTGAGGCTTTGGGGGGACATCTAAACACAGCCATAACACCTTCTGAAGCAACTCCTCCCCTCCTTTGCTTTCCTCTTTCCTTCCTTCTCCCTTCTTGCCTGTGTGGTTTGAGTCCTGTGTTTTTGGCTCACTGGCAGCTGGCTAACCCAGAGCTGGCTGCGTATGGCACTGCTCCAAGCCCAAGCCCCTTCTAGGGGAAATGAGGACAGTTGTGGAGCCCTTCCCTCCCAGAGAGGCACTGGGGAGATTAAATGAGGTCAGAGATGAGAAACTGCTTTCCGAGGCACTCTCAGGCCAGGGTTATGCTTATGGAAACTTCTCAGAACGGAAGCCCTGGCATCAGCAAACTACACATTAAGGTGGGCTGCAGTTCCTGAGTTTCCTGTGCTGGGTGTTTATACTAGAGTCTTTCTCTAGCTGTGTAATGAAAGGCTTTCCCTCTTCTAAAGGAATCTCAGGTGTCACTTAGCAGACAGGAGAAGGAATCAGGAGTTTTCTGAAATCATAGCCAAGAAGGATGAGAAGAGAAACATCTACTGATCATTTAGTATGTGCCAGGCACTGAGCTAAGCTATTTGTATACAGCGCCTCATTTATTTCTCACAAACGCTTACAGCACAAATACTAGGGTTTCTTTTTTTAATCTACTTTATATATGAGCAATTTTTTGAGGTCACAAAGCTTTGAAAGGATGAATTTAGATCTTGGTGCAAGACCTATATAATTCCCAAACTCTTGCCTTTCTTGATAAGAAAAAACCCCATCCTGCCCGATCCCAGTTGAAAGCAACCTCCTCAACAGCAGCCTCAGCACCATCCTTCTGTGATGCTCACTGAGGAACCTCCCAGCCGCCTCTGTGCAGACAATGAGCTCTTTGAAGACTTGGACTGTGTTGGATTCATCTTTGTATTCCCAGCATCAACCAAGTGCCTGGGCCAGAAAAAGCATCAGCAAACATTAACTGAATGACTGAATGGTTAAGGAATAACTTTTGTCTTAAGAATAAAATTGTGACTCTAATACAAATATAAAATCAACGTGTAAAAAATTATCTAACTCCTCAAATAATGGAGAAATCACTAAAATGAGATAGTTAATTTGTTCAAAGAACTCAGAGCTTGGGGTACAGTTCAGGGTAAAACATTTGTCTAGCATGCCTACCATCCTAAGTTTGATCTCCTGCCCTTCACAAAAGATAAAAAAGAGAGAAAGAAAGAAAGAAAGAAAGAAAAAGAAAGGGAAGAGGGATGTGCTAGATGGGTCACCAAATAATCCTCTTTGGTCCATTTGCAAGTCAGATTTTCCTGTGGGCTGAATGGTGGAAGCAGCTGCTTGAATGGAAGGGGAGGTGTCCACTCAGAGCCACCCCAAACCCCATCTCTCTTGGAGCACGGTATTGCACACTGCCTCCATCACCCACTGCTACCAGACAGTGGCTGGTCCCAAGCTTACCCCGAGGCCTTTCAACTGCCAGTCAACCCTCACCCACAGTGATGCTAACACTTACAGATGCCTGAGGAATCTTTTCCCTAGAATGGAGGAAGTCCTAACCAGAGGGGGCCTCTGATACTGAAAGGCCAGCAGCCAGGGTACAGGTGGACCAGGGAAGAGGGGCCTGAATGTGAGGTCTCCCGGGTCATTCACTGGTGTTGCTGCTCAGAAGATCTACTCAGTCTAGAGAGGGGATGTTACACAGTTCCCCAGGAAAGGGGTTCCCCAGGCCGCTCAGGTCACCAGTTGGACACTGTGGGAAAGTGTCATGTCTTTCCAGAGCTGCACCTGTCCAGGGCCTGAGAGTGTAAGAGGAAACAAGGGCACCGGGAGGAGGTTCTCACCAGCAAATCACTGGCAAGCAAACCTGGGGCTGGCTAACTGCAGAGCACAGCCCAGCTGGCTCGCTAGAAAACTCGGCCTTGAACTCTAATCTTCCAGAAATCCAACCTTTGCTCTGAGAAAACAATTTATGATGTCTTTTTCTCCTTTCCTTTTATGAAGGTCAAGTTCTACCTGCAAAACGATGTCCGTGTTGCCAGACCATGGAAGAATAGTCTGTGTGAACTGCCCGGGGTCCATGTCGGCAATGACAGCCTCACACCACCAGCCTGGACCGGCCACCCTCTACCCAGTCTACTGGTTTCTTGTCTCTCCCTTGAGACTCCTCCCGCTGGGATGCCACAGTCATATCCCTGGGCACATTTGGCCTTGTGGTTTCCCTGTCTACATCTCTGATGGCTTCACTCACCCACAGGATTAAGTCTGTGATGCCCAGGGGGCACCACACCAGCCTCTTGCTCTCCTCCTGGCCTTACGCCATCACTCCCCGATCCCCACTTTGTGCTCCAACACGGCCAGCTCTGATAGTTCTCTGCACACTTCAGGCTTTTCCTCTGCCTGGAAGACCCTAGCCTTGGCTGACCCCTGACTCCCTCTAGGAGGCTCGACTGGGGCTTCACCAACCCAAGCTCTCTGCTCCGTGTCCCATATCCATCCCCATGTTGCTGCCATTAACATATCTGCTCCTCCTACCGCGGATGTGTGGCTCCTGGAGAGCAAGGCTTAGTTCTTGTACTGTTAACTAGTGTCCCCTCAAAACTCATGCTCATCCAATAGTGTACCCTGATTCGAAAACAGGTCTTTGCAGATGTAATCAAGTTAAGATGCAGTCACACTTCATCTTAAGGTTAGAGTGCACCTTAAATCCAATATGATTGGTGTCCTTTAAAAGGCAGGGAAAGGGTTGGAGGTATAGCTCAGAGGGACAGCGCTCACCTAGCATGCACAAGTCTCTGGGTATAGTCCCCAGCACTACGACAGAGGGCATAGGAATCCCAGGGGAGAACATCATATCAAAGCAGAGATGGACTGGAATGGTGCTTAACAAGCCAAGCAATGCACAGGTTCCTAGAAATCACCAGAAGCTAGGAAAGAGGCAGGGAACAGATCCTTCTCTCAAACCTCAGAAAGAAGATGACTCTGCCATCCAGGGCTCCCCAGGATGCTATAGGAAGCCCTAGGAAATGAAGAGACTTCTTATTAGAGCCCCTGACCCAGTGTTTACACAATTCTATGAAAATGGTAAAGACCCCTGATTGGAATACTTCAAAATAGTGAGTCTTATAATATGTGACTTGTGTCTCAATTTTGAAAAAGCAAACCATGAGACAGTTTGATGCTGGAGAGTGATGTGGTGCGTCTGCATTTTAGGAAGAAGAGGCTGTGGTCACAAGGTAAAACCAGACCTGAGGCCAAGCAGTCCTGTTGGCTACGAGGCTGCTACAAGAGACTTGGTGATAATGGTGACCTGTCCAAGGGAGCAGCAGAGAAGAGGGACAGGTCAGATCCAAGGGGTTTGTTTTGTTTTTGTTTTAAAGGACCTAAGTATCACACTCAGGGCCTCCTGCCTGCTAGACACACGCTCGGCCGCTGACATCATCCCTGGTCTCCAAGAAGTATTCAGATGGGTGATTTAGACATATACAATGTATACATATCACAAATTATTAAATTGCCGAAATGTGACTTCTTCCTCCTTCTATAGACAGACTTTGTTCTTGTGATGGGTTTTCTAAAATCTCGAAACTCTGGGGGTGTGGCTCAGTGGTAGTGTTTACCTAGCATGCACTAGGCTCTGGGTTCAAGTCACTGCAACAAAAAATAAACAAGCAAAACAACAACAAAAGTCTGCAGAATGTAGGACTATTCTTTCTTTAGAAGGTGGAGACTAATTTGCTTCCCCTAGAATGTGGGCTGAACTTAGTGACTTTGTGACACAGTCTAGCTATGTAGCTCAGGCTAGCCTTGAACTCACTATGTAGCCCAGATGAATCTCCCCCACAGGAAGTGACTCACTTGTTAATAGCAGAAGTGATGCTGTGTGACTTCCCAGGTTAGGTCATCAAAGGGTACAGTGTCCATTGGATTCTCTCCCTCTCTTTGTCTCTCTCTGTTTGTCTCTGCCTCTGTCTCTCTGTCTGTCTCTGTCTGTCTCTCCCCCTCCTTCCCTCTCATTCTGTCCCTTATTGTTGCTTCGAGCAAAGCAAGCAACCATGCCAACCAGAATATTCCACACACCTGTGAAGAGCCCACACAAAGACAAACTTACGCCTCCTCTCAACAGTCAACACACCTTCCAGCCATGGCAGTGACCATCTTAGAGGCCAACCCTCAGACCCAGCGACGTTCTCAGACAACTCCCGAGTCTCTGAGCTCTCCATTGTGGCTGCAGTCCTCACAGAGCAGAGACAAGCTGCCCCTCCTGTGCCTTGCCTAAATTCCTGACCCACAGAAACTATGCGAGATAATAAAAGTTGTTTTAAGCTGTTCGATTCTGGAGTAATTTGTTACACAGCAACAGATAATGAATAACAGTTCTGTTGAACCAAATCTCTTGATACTGAGGGCGCTTTAGAAGGAAAGAGTCTATTGAGCCATTGCAGATGCCAGCTAGCAAAGGACCAGATCCTGGAAAAAGATCCACAGTTCCCAGAAGCCAGGCTACCCAGCAGCTGGAAAATGTTGACCAGATCTAAGAGTCCAATTACGAAAATTTGGTGGAATAAAATAAACTGTTTACATTGCACTTACATTGACTATAGATAAGAGAGGCAGAAGGGAAAGTTTTGGGATAGGAGGGCAGGAAGGGAAAAGGATTAAGATTGTTCTTACATGTACCAACTCTCAGCGAGGAATGTAATCACAATGCACTGCGAACATGCACTAATAAAAATTTTAAAACTGTTTTGTAAAAGGAGGGCCATCTAGAAGGAGAAATATCTGCTGTTTCTAGATGGGTTGGGTTAGCAGTTCAAAATGTTTGCACCTAAGCAAGACACCATAGCGCAGAGAGGTTGGACACTAGAATTTTGGAGTCTGTCTTTGTTGGTGGGGCCGGCAGCTATTAACTGCCTCATTCCCATATCTGTGCCTCCCTGCTCTTGTAAGGGAATGTAGGACATCTCAGGCATTTTATTTTATCCATTTCTACGGATAAGTGGGAACATTTCACTTTCCAAGGTAAGGTAACTGAGTCACTTCCTTTCTAAAACTGAAGCCCACTGGGGGATCAACACTGCTGATTCCAGACTTGAATGCCTTCTTAGACCCCTGCACTTTTCTTTTGTTTGTTTGTTTGTTTGTTTGGGGGTTTTTGTTTGTTTGGTTGGTTGGCTGGTTTTTGTACCAGGGATCCAACTCATGACTCCGGCTTGCCAGGCAGGCGCTTACGCCACTGAGCTAAACCCCCAGTCCCACCCCTGCACTTTTCTAACTGGCCTCCTCCCCAGGATGCCTCATTGAGGGGGGTGCTGTATGCAATGTAGAGCATGCATCCAGGCGTTCCCCTCCCCTCCACAGAAGGATAGATTGTCCTCCACGGTCCCGGGCATCGCCTTCTGTTCCTGCTGCTCTGCCACAGAAGTAGCTGTGTGTAACCCTGTGCACATTTGCCCAGATGCGGCCCCACACAGATCTGTACAGATCACTCTGAGAAGGCGAATGAGACCTGAAATCCAGCCTGCATCCTCCTCTCTGAGCCTCGCGTGGTTCCCAATGGCAAAGCCTCAGCTCAGCAAAGAGGGCACCTTTGGCATTCCATACCCCCCATAAGGGACATGACAGGGTAACCCTAACCCTAATCCCAACCCTAACCCTAACCTAAAAGGTTACCTAGCGCTCCAGCTCTCACCAATACCCAACCCTGCTGACATGGCCAGGGAAAGACAAAAATACACACTTCACCAATGAAGTTTAACACAGTGCCCCAAAATTTAACAATTAAGACAAATAACATTTCAATCAATATTTTTGGAAAATCAAAATTAGTGCAAAAAAAAACCAGAACAAAGATTCAAAATTTTACATAGAGACAGGATCCAACTCTGCACATGGACTGAGCTGATTCACTAACCCTAGCCTGGTTCCAATAAAGCTCCATCTACAAAACCAAGCAGCAGCCCATGGGTCACATTGGCCACTTTTTAAAGTGTGTTTCTAAATATTATTTACCTTGAGCAAAATAGAGTGGAGCACGCCTGCCATCCAGCTATTCAAGAGGCTGAGTCAGAAGGAGCTCTTGAGCCCAGCAATTTGAAGCCAACCTGAGCACTTGCCTAGTATGCAGAAGGCCTTCGGCTCTGCCCCAGCAGTGCAGAAAAAAATAATAATTGAAATAAAATATTATTCATCTTGATTACTTGGTCGCCCACTCCTGCTGGCCCTATGTCATTTAGATCTCATCTGTCAGACTGAGGGCCACCCTGGACTTTATTAATCAGCCACAGGTCAGGGACAAGAAGAGGGCTGAAAAAGGGCGGCTGTTGCAAGCAGCCTGACCCAGGCCCTCTGGAGACTTAAAGGCACCCTGTCTTCAGTGTTACCCCTGCTGGTCCAGGACTCAGTCCTAGAGGGAAGCAGAGACAGCAGCCTCAGGCCCGCAGTCTCACCTGCGTCTCCAGCACACCCTGCAGACTTTGGTTTCTAAGTAAACAGTGAAGGTGGAGAGTTGGGAATCAGGCCCAAGGCCTCCTTCCAGACTCACCCACCTTTTTGTTCCTCAGCTTCCCAGGCAGGAGGGTCTTCCTGTGCGGCAGGACAGCCACACCTTTTTCCCATCCATCCCCTCAGTGGTTCATTTCACAGTCTTTGATCTCTTCTACCCACCAGGCATTTGCTACACTCCAGAGTCAAAAAGCACCACTACTCTCGGAGCAAACAATAGGAGGGACCAGTATTCACAACTGATTACAGTGAAACTGTGATGCCAAGTGCACAAATCAAACCTGTGTGTGCCACAGATGTAGCTGTGGCACAGAAGAGGAAATGGTCACCTGTCCATGGAGGCTTCAGGACAAGCAGGACTGGATTTCCCCAAGCAGACAGAGGGTCAACAGATACTCCCAGAACACAGACGAGCACACACAGGAACCCGGATGGAGGAAGAGCTGTGGAAACAGAAGTGATGGCATTGATTTAAGGACAAAGAGGCATTGTAACCTCGGCGGGGTATTAGGCAAGCTGATGAGCTCACCTGTAACAGGGGGGTAATCATGATCCTACCTTTGTGAGCTTGAAGAGGGCATTAAATGAGATACTTCAAACCCTTAGTACAGTGCCTAGCTCGTAATAAGGTGCTATGTATGCACAAGGTTGACCACTGCTATTCATTGGATCTTCAGTCTAACATCAGAAGCATTGTATGAGAGGGGGGGGAAAGCCTAGTTACATAAAATTTTTTGCACACTGAGAAAAGGTTAATTCAATCAACATTTAAACATCTACTACATCCCTAAGCACTCTACAGTTAACTTTTAAAATTTCAGTGATCAGGCCTGAGTTTAAACTAAGCCTTTTTGGAGTTTAAAGCTGAACTGTTTCTCTCTTGAGCTCTAGGTCTTGCAAATCAAAATTGCTTTGCTCCCAGACTATTGTATCAGCATCTGACTCCAGTTAAAAAATCCATTCTGCAACTCAATTGACTGTTTTGTTCTACATGCAAGCTGCCCTCCCCAGAGACATCGATGATGCCATGACTCAATAGGAACAGAGCCACCAGGCAGTAGGAGCACGTGGTTTAGTATTTTAAAAATATTCAGCCTCTTATGGAGCTGGCAAGACCTGGGGATGAAGCTTGGGTGACGGGAGATAAGGAACAAAGGGAGGCTCAGATTAAAGAGATTTAATTTATAGAATGGGTTGTCTTTGGGGGGCTTTTTTGCTCATCTAAGAGAAAATAATATACCCAGTGACACTGAGTCATTTGATGAGAAATAGGATAGCGTGCATTTATTAGGTGCCTACTGTGTGCCAGGTTAGAAAGGGGTCCCCCCAAAGATGGAACAATCTGCTTCTCTGGTTTTCACCCAGGCACCTAGCGGGGACAGAGATAGAATGTCTCAGCTTTTGGGAGGTCAGAGGAGGCTTACTGAATGATTTGAACTATTTTATTTTATTTTATTTTATATTATTTTATTTTATTTTATATTATGTTATTTTATTTTATTTTGCCTAGATTCCTGAAGCCTGCCCTTCGGAAAACTAATTCCGCTATTTGTATTTTCTCTCCTTTTTTGGTTGGGGCAGTCTGAGGATTTCTGGGGACGGAACTTGGGCCTCCCACATCATAATGTGAGTCCTTCCACTGAGCTATATCCCCAGCCCCTATTTTCTATCTTTAAAAAAAGAAATTACTTTTGAAAATACCAGCCTGTCTTTGGGAGTGTTAGGAAACTAAAAAAAGCTTCTTAATTTCAGCCTAAGTTGAAGTTAAAAGAGAAAAGCTGTCCCCTACCTCTGGGAGGGAAGGGGTGGTCCCCAGGAGATGAAAAAGCCCAGGAGAGCGGTCTTGGTTGGGGGTGCTCTTAGGAGCTGGAGGAGGGCTCCTTGGTGCTCTGGTTTTCTGCTCCCCCTTCTGATGGTTCCGTTCTTCTCTCTCCTGCCCAGAGTATCACAGGAGCCTCCTGTGTGCTGGTTCAGTTCCCTGTCACTTTAGCCAAACTGAGAGAGTTTCTGTGCCTTGCAAGTCGCCATCCCTGGGCAGAAGAACTTATTAGCTCAAAGGCACAATTCAGAGAGAGAGAATCTTGGGCAGAGAAGAAAGCGAAACACCTTTGGAAGCTCGAACGCTCCCGGTCTTTCTCACAGCAAGCCACTTACTACTTTGTTCATTCTGCAAAGATCTATGAAGCGCCTCTAGACTTGCCAGGCACTAGGGATATAAACAAAAAATGAAGATACCCCTGCCCTGAGGAGCTTCTGGGCTGGTGGGGAGACAGCTGGGTGAGCACCGCAGGGGATGCCAGCCAAAGCCCCAATTCCGGAATTCCCTCCTCCAAGGCACCAACAAGGCCCTGTTAAAATTAACTCCACCAATTAAATGCATGTTAGGAGACAATGCTGCCTGTCTTCTGCTTTATTTTTAATTACAGGGCCTGGCCCAAAGTTGTCAAACCGTTTCTAATTAGAGCAGAGCATGTAAGAGGACTCCTGGGAAGCAGGAAGAGGGGGACGGTGGAGAAGCCCAGGGCTCTGCTCCCATGTCCTGGTCCTCTGCAGCCAGCCCAGGCCCATCCGCCTCCGGACAGCCACGACAGGCTGCTGCCCCACTAATGCACTGGACGACTAGGGAAACACTCTCCACTCGCTGTCCCTCCCTTGCATTTCAGCACGGACCCTGATTATAGTCATTAGGGAGTCACCCTGAGTGACAGGAAGACAGGAGGGTGGAATGGAAGGCGGCTGCACGGCCAGGCAAGAGAGCTCGGGCTGCAGAACAGAGCCTGGGGAGAGCAGTGGCAGCAGCCCTCTCCACAAAGGGAGCAAGAGGCTTCCATCTGCCGGCTGCCCTGGGAAAGATGTCATGGGGTGGCTGTCAGCCTGGCGCACAAGGTTCCAGAGCCACTGGGGCCCCCACAGCAGCCCCTTGAGGCCGCAGCCCAGCTTTGCTGCCCACTACAACTGCAGGCCCTGTAGCAGAATCCATTCAATGTATGTCTTCCCAGAAGTCAGCTGGGCAGCAGGTTTGGGACTGCCAGAAGAGGCAAAAAATAAGTCACAGTCCCCTCAGGGCTGACATAGAGTTGTCTGTAGACTTGAGGAGGCGGGAACAGAGCTCAGTCTCCTAGGCTTCTGTCTTCACCCTCCGCTTGGACCAGAGGCATAGGCTTCACCTCTCCTACAGGAAGCTCCATGTGGCCAAGAGGGTAGTCTGGGCTGGCCACTCCCCGCTGCCTCCTGCCCTTAGCGTGAGAGCAGGGAGGTCTAACAGGCTGTGACCCACCCAGCAGGGGCCTCTATCCTCCACACACCTCTCCTTTTAGCCAGGTCTAGGGCTCCAAAAACACAGCAGTCTTGCAAGGCAGAGACCCATACCATCCCAGTGTGCAGTGTCATACCTGACTGTGTTATACCTGACTGAGCCCTGCGCTGCTGGAAACAGCCACCGCCAGGTAAGAAACCGCCCACCCTTCATGCTCTAGGAGAAGGCTCTTGGCAAAGAACTCCCATCCTCATATGACAGAGAAAAGACTCCAAGACGAAAACCCACCCAAGTTCCTTTCTCTGTCTCACAGATGATTATCCAGACCACTGACCAGTCTAGACAAAATGCCTGAAGCCTGGACATGACCATCCTTTAGCCAAGCTTCTTCCCGCTGGGATACTGGCCCACCCTAAGCCTGGGCCAGCCTCAGAATTCAGAGCAACTTTTCCTTAATGACCCCCAACTCTGGGATTCAGGGAAAACTGTCCCTACAGGCCACCTGCTTACCTGCTCCCTTCACACATATACTGAATTCCTTCTAGCCTTATTTATTGTGTTAAGAAAGTAGACTGCTTACTTTTTTTAAAAAATCCCTTTTTGCCTTGCCTTTGAGAATTTTATGCTCACCCTATTGCAATAGCTCCAATGGCAATTTATCCCAGGTGTCTTTGGGAGTAAAATCCTCATTTTGGCTCCTGTTTTTGCTCTTTGACACCAACCCAGGAACAAAGGCGCTTCCCCCAGAGGTGGCTCTCATGGGCAGTCTGCCCTCTGCCACCTGCACACTGCACCTCGTGTACCTTATCTGCTCCTCAGGCGACTAGTTCATATGTAAGCCAGGCGCCCCACCAGCCGCCCCACTGGCTTCCAGCAGTCTGCTGGTCAAAGGTTTACTGGTTAGCAGCAAAATCAAGTTGTGTACCGAGTGTGTCACTGGCATCTCCTAGGCCCCATGAGCCAGGCACCGTTATTACCCCCATTTCTTAAATATGGAAATTCACACTCGGAGAAATGGGTGTGAACGGAATCATTCTGCTCAGCCGCAGGATGGCAGCTCCACGGGCATAGCCAATGAGACTTAAAATACTACCCTTCCCTCCTGGCCCTATGGATTCCCTGAGAAGCTGACAACCTCAGAACCGCTTAGGACAGCCCCTGGCACCCAGGAGGTACCATACAAGCGGTACAAGTGGTACCAGTACCACCATGATAACAGCATGCGCAGTTATGTCCAAAAGGTTCCCAAGAGCTGGGTCAAGTAGCCTAGTCCAAGCCTCAAGGCTTGTTCACTTCCTTGTGTCACCCCATTCTTCACGCATTGTGTCTGCTGTTTTTATTGGCTCCTCCGCTAGCCTGTGGGCTCCCCAAGGGCAGGACTCTCTCGTGTTTACCACAATATCCCTAATGCCTGGATCGGTCCTGGAACAGGAATGAGCGGGATTCCGAGGCTTGTGCTCCTGACCTCTAGGCCAAAAGGCAGTCTTCTGTCCTCAACAGCCCAAAGAGGGCTACAGCTCAGAGGTACAGCGCTTACATGTGTGAGGTCCTGGACTCAATTGCCCAGCACTGCAAGACGAAAGAACAAAGGATGGAAGGGAGAGAAAGAGAGAAACAAAGGAAAGTAGAGAAACAAAAAGAAAAAAAGAGAAAAACAACTTAATTTCCAATGTGTTAAGCTTGCTTGCTTAACACACACTTTCCCCCTGACCCCAGAAACACTAATCTCTTTACACAGTCTTCACGTGGAACTTGTGGATTTCTAGAAACTTCTACATGCACTACCTGGCTTGGGCCCCTACCAGTGATTATATCCATTTTACAGGAGAAACTGAGGTGCAGAGAGCAAAGCCGACCTGAGGTGGGCGCCCCAACACAGCATAGCCACCATCCCCAGGAGCATCCCACCCCACCACCCCACCCCACCCTGCCCCACCCCCACCCCTGCTCCGCGCAAGCTTCCAGAGCTAAGAGTTTTCGCTTCCCTTTCTGCGTGGCTAATTATCCTTTTAACTCGAGCTAGCATATTTTTGCCATGTGATCTGCTGGGTTATTTTTATCTATCTCTCCATAATGGTATCAGGGCCGTTACTCAGGGAGGCTCCCGGCGCTGAGCTGCTCCCCAATTTACAATTGCAATTATGATCTCCGACAGAAACACATGCAGCTGGCGTCAATTTTAAGCAATATTTTGATCATAATAATTAAAAAAGTAACTTATGGTGCGTACGCATTAGATAAATTAATGTTATTCCAAGGCTCTGCTAAAAAGGCGTGCAAGGGAGTGGAGATGGTGCCCGCTCTCTCCGGGGCCTGCACCGTGCTCCCCGGGCTCACAAATTAACTCTCACACTGAGTTTAATATCTGCCTGTCCCCGCCCCTCTCCTGGACACACAGGTGAAATTGATGGTTATTAAGGTAGTGGAGTATAAACAAGCATATTTTCTTGTCACTTCTCCCGGGGAGGTGACAGGCAGATGAAAGGATGTTCTCCTCTCTCCCGAACTCACTGCCCCAGAACCAAAAGGGAGCAGGACCCGAGGGCCCAGAGGCTGGAAAGGAGGAACAACCTATCCTCCCCAGCCACCCAAGCACGCGTACACTCACACAGGTACACACAGTACGTATACAGATGCAGACCCGCACCCATGCATGCAGACACCACTACACACACACACACACACACACACACACACACACCCCAATTGACCTGCCCCGCTACAGGCTTCACACATAACCACATGTACCTCCCAGTCCCAACCACAGACATCACATAATTAGTGTGCATGTCTGCTTACATCTGCCCTCCTATCCATGAACTGTAATCACAAAACACACCCTACACTGCCCTTAACACACAGACTCGTATATGTGCACACACACACGTACACACGCACTTCCACACACAGGTTCTCCATACACAAATGTACCTACTCCCGAATACACACCACACCACATATCCACACACAGATTCCTTCACCTGCATACGCACTTTCGTTTAAGGGCACATACACAGCTGCTGGCTTTCAATATGCAATTTCTATAATCACAGGCAAACCCACAATCAGTTACACAACGAAGCCCACAAACTTGTGTGCTCACATTGACACAGACACTCTCACATACTCCCTCTCTCTGCACAGGCAGGGCACCTTGGAGGAGGAGGCCAGGCCACAAATAGCCATCACAGCTTTTCAGCTTTGGAAGGACCCCCAAGCTGGATGCCTGCTCCCCACCACCATGCTACACAGATATTTACACCTCATTCCAAGATTTTCTGAAATCTACCTGGTCCCAAGCTCAAGTCCATTTATCTGGGGGGGTCCCAGGAAGCCCCATTCCTACCTTCCTGGGGCACATGCATGAAGGGTTAGGGGTAGAGAGGGGCAGAAGACCCACTATCTTTGAGTACTCCAGGCTTCTCCGCTGGTCATTTTGTGTATGTGGTTTGTTCTTTTGCTTGCTTGCTTATTATAATAAGCACCATTACTTTTGGCAGGTTTTTAAAAAACTTTTTAATACCAAAAAATAGTACTACCCCCTTCTCCTACCCCTAGGCTGGCAGCCACTGGTATAACTGGGTGGAGCTGAGTTTCTGGGTATCTGAGTCAGAAGCTTGGATTCAAATCCTGTCTCCACCTCCCATTGGTAATGACTCTGGAAAGTGCTGACCTCCGCTCCCTCTTTTCTGTTTCATGGTTGTCATCAAGCCTGATGAAAGAAAGGAGGAGAAGGACCTGGCCCCGGACAGGCCCAGGGCATGGGCTGAGCGCATCTCATCTGCAGCCGCTTCTACTGCTGACATCATGTTGACCCCGTACTTTCTCTCCACCTGTGCCAGTTGCTACCTCCTCTTGTCACCTTGTTCAGCTTCTCTTCCTGTCTCCTGTTTCTGCGTTTGGGGATGCTGCGCCCTGCGCCCCCTGCCCTCGTCTCTACAATACTTTGGAACATCCACTCCTGTGGTTCTCCGTGGTGGTTGGGGCACAGATGAG